TCTGAGTGGAGTATGTTTAATGTGTTCTTGTAGTTGTGACATTCTGAGTGGAGTATGTTTAATGTGTTCTTGTTGTTGTGACATTCTGAGTGGAGTATGTTTAATGTGTTCTTGTAGTTGTGACATTCTGAGTGGAATATGTTTAATGTGTTCTTGTAGTTGTGACATTCTGAGTGGAGTATGTTTAATGTGTTCTTGTAGTTGTGACATTCTGAGTGGAGTATGTTTAATGTGTTCTTGTAGTTGTGACATTCTGAGTGGAGTATGTTTAATGTGTTCTTGTAGTTGTGACATTCTGAGTGGAGTATGTTTAATGTGTTCTTGTAGTTGTGACATTCTGAGTGGAGTATGTTTAATGTGTTCTTGTAGTTGTGACATTCTGAGTGGAGTATGTTTAATGTGTTCTTGTAGTTGTGACATTCTGAGTGGAGTATGTTTAATGTGTTCTTGTAGTTGTGACATTCTGAGTGGAGTATGTTTAATGTGTTCTTGTAGTTGTGACATTCTGAGTGGAGTATGTTTAATGTGTTCTTGTAGTTGTGACATTCTGAGTGGAATATGTTTAATGTGTTCTTGTAGTTGTGACATTCTGAGTGGAGTATGTTTAATGTGTTCTTGTAGTTGTGACATTCTGAGTGGAGTATGTTTAATGTGTTCTTGTAGTTGTGACATTCTGAGTGGAGTATGTTTAATGTGTTCTTGTAGTTTGTGACATTCTGAGTGGAGTATGTTTAATGTGTTCTTGTAGTTGTGACATTCTGAGTGGAGTATGTTTAATGTGTTCTTGTAGTTGTGACATTCTGAGTGGAGTATGTTTAATGTGTTCTTGTAGTTGTGACATTCTGAGTGGAGTATGTTTAATGTGTTCTTGTAGTTGTGACATTCTGAGTGGAATATGTTTAATGTGTTCTTGTAGTTGTGACATTCTGAGTGGAGTATGTTTAATGTGTTCTTGTAGTTGTGACATTCTGAGTGGAGTATGTTTAATGTGTTCTTGTAGTTGTGACATTCTGAGTGGAGTATGTTTAATGTGTTCTTGTAGTTGTGACATTCTGAGTGGAATATGTTTAATGTGTTCTTGTAGTTGTGCAGCTGTTGGTGCTTTGAGTACATGGCCATTGACAAAATCGATTCATTTGAAAATTCTCTTATCTGGTCCCATTCGCTGTTGTTAGCTGATCTACAAATACGGTCTGCGTTTGTGATGACCAATAGTGGCGATAGAATGCACCCCTGTCTCAGTTACTTCAAACATGACAAGGACTTTTAAAAAGAACTTTATTTATTAGAAAAATAAATTACTAAATAACGCTTTTTGACGCTTAAACCCAGGAAAGAAAACAAAAATAGGTGGGGTAGAGAATGGGAGGGAGAGGGGGGAGGGGTTAAATAATGAGGAAAATGATATTATTATGATGCTGGTTATAATGAGTTAAACTTGATGGTGATTATGTTGATCATGCTAAATTCGTGACCATGATAATGATGTTGTTGTACCTTTGACAAATCCTTTGATGAGAAAACGATGATGATGATCATGAAAACAAAAATGCTAATGAAAGTAATAATAATAGTGATGATGTTAACATCGACGATGATGATGAAAATAATGATGAGGGTGAAACATAATTAGAACGATAATGAGTTGGCGATGAAAGCATCTAAGATGATGATTCTATTAAAGTTGATGACAATGACAGTGACGTTAATGGCAACGATGGCTAGAATGATGATGATGACGTCGACAGCATGGCTTCCATGTATCTATCCTAGCCGAGGTGCCAGGACACACATTCCTTCCCAGGGAAACATTTACTTAAACAAGACATTGATGTGAATGTCAGCCCCAATATTAGGACCCTATATCCACAGTGCCAGCCCAAATCTTTGAATATTAAGCTCCACCGAGTTCGTGCCGTGCATGCAAAGTTCTTTCTTGCGCTTTTACTTCAAGCAGTTTCTGTTATGATGTGCTCTATGGCAGTGTTCTTCAACTTATGGGTGACGGCCCACTGGTGTGCAGTTTAAAAGTCCAGGTGGGTCGCGTGAAAGTCCTAGTGGGTCGCGTAAAGGTCCAGATTGGTGGCGTAAAAGTTCAGGTGCGCAGCGTTAAAGTCATGATGGGTCGCGTTAAAGTCTAGGCGGGTCGCGTTAAAGTCTAGGCCTCCCAAAAATGTCTGCGTTATCATGTAACGTGGCAGGGCAGGTAGTTGTTTTCATCCTCCAGGATTGAGTCTGTCTGATTAACACTTCAAGAATTAAAACTTAAAAGGGGACACATCCCAGAAAATCGTTCATCTGCATTAATCAGTTTAGAATGGGGCATTTTGGGTCAGAATCTAACCCGTAAGTAGTACCTGATAATTGTAATTTTTGTAGAATCAGATTTAATAAATAAAATGTTATTTATTTGTGCTTTTGATTCCGTGTCTGGTTAACTGTCAAGTCTGCCGCGAAACAATGTCCCTTTGTTTTGATGGGACCCTGGCAAAAGGTTGAAGAACGCTGCTCTGGGGCAGGCTTCTCAAACTGAGGGTCCCTCTGACCACAATTTTAGTTATGTTTGTGTCGTCGTGAGGGCCACACAAGACAACTATTTAAAGCTATTTAGTACACACGAATCGCATAATAGTTCGTTTGTTCGGGCCGCAGGTGTGCTTGCCAGTTTGACATGCCTGCTCTAGAGTGGGCAATCACAGGTAATCTTCTCTGCGTCTTCTCAGCTTTCGTTGACAGTAAACTCCAGCGATAAGTTATGGTTATTCGTTCATTTCTGGACTTTGGACCTATTCTAGAATTTGAATGTGCTTGTACATCCGTTTTACAGATCTATTTTATTTGTATGCAGACTGTTGGCGCTTCATCTCTCGGGTAGATGCACACTTCAAATGAGACTCCCCAAAATTAATCGCTTTGTACTGTCCACTTTCCCTTTGATAATCTAAGGTGCTTTTGCAAAGGGGAGAGAACTATCTAGTCAGCAGCGAGAATGATACAATGACAGGGGGTATTGTGGGATTACGATGCTGATGATAATGACGAATCTAAGATGACAATGAAACATGAGAAACTCACATTTCCAAAATAGTAAGCCATCTGAAAGCCGTGTATCAAAAATGTAAAACAAACAATATGGTGTTCGGTACGGGCAGGGGAACATAATGCCGGTAATTGATGTGTGGGAACAAAGGCGAAACAGACCATAAATTAAAATTTATTCTCTAAAATATTTGACTGAAGCTACTCATGTGAATGCAAACTATAGTAACAAAGGAATATAATAATAAAAAAAAATAATCATTACAAGTGAGCTGCAAAATCTTTTACACTCAAATGTAACTGCATGTAAGTACGAGTAAAAAAGTATGTGATCTTAAACAAAGACGGAGTTCAAACGTGATAAACATGTACCGCAAGGATAATTAATCTCTGCTTTTCTAACAACTAGAAACTATCAACAACAACAAAAATAATAACAATAACAACAACTAAAAGAAAGAAATCGACTGTCAAAGAGAACTGATCCACAGAATTGAAGTTCTGACATTTTTTCCTCACAAAAAAAAAAAAAATAGACTAACGAAGAGAACTGATTCCAGAATAGAAATTTTGACATTTCTTGCTTACATCACCAGAATGAGGAAACTGACAAAAGGAAAGTTCGATGGGGTAGAAAGGCAGCCGGTGACATAGGGAGAAGACCCTAGCATATGGTCAAAAATAGTTGATACTACATGATGCAGAAGACTGTGGGCAGACAGATTACAAATGGCTTATTGTACTGACTATTTGAAAAAGACAACAAGCAAATACAAAGTGTGGGTTCTGCGGCTCCACTTCTGGGGGTGGGGTGAACAGACAGCTGCCGCTCCACCTCTTCCCAACAAAAATGTTGTAATGTGTCTCCTTGTGCTAGGTCTCACTAGTACTATTAAAACACTGGATGTTGTCTAGAGGTCAAGTTTACAGATCAGACAAGATATAATCTCTTCCCCAATCAGCTGCAAGCCTTCTCACATTACAGTCGACACCGGATGATTACAGTTTCACGTTTATTGGTAACAACATATGAGCCACGAGAATGTCCACTAATCTCATAGTCTACCGACAATCTACAACACGACACCGACTTCTTTCATCCAGGTTCTACGTGTTCGCACTTTAAAGTAAACAGCCAAGCTTTGAACGTTCAACATTGACATGTACACAATTAGCACAGCAGATACACAGCAGGTCACATCAGTCGTCTTTCTCTCAGCTGTCTTTTAACGTAGCTTTCGTTGCAGACGATCTATTTTCACTCTTTCCAGCTCTGGATCAACTGTTACTCCTAATCGCAATAGTACTCTGTCAGACTCACTATTCAACCATTCCCCCCTCCCCCCACCCCCACTTATCTCGTGTTCCAAAGTGGACTTACACAATCCCGTGTTTTCACTCTCTCATTCTAACAACACTAACCACCTAGTGATTTTTTCATAACATGCTTTATTAGTAAAATACAACTGCTGTGCGAAAGATGGTTGACTGGAAGGGCCGAATGTAAGACGGGCCTGCGTGCCCAATTTGTGACCCTTTGAAAATGAAGTTCGTTCGTTCGTTCTAATTTTACCAACCAGTCAAATTTCTTACATTATACCTATAATTAGCATCACTACACATGTTATGCAAGACGAAGAACTATACAATTTCCTCTCGAAATCATGTGCATTTGAAAATTAGGCGAGCAATCAATAGTCTGCACACATACATTTATGCTACATACGTAAAAGGGATGTGCACTCAACATTCATATTATTGAATAAACCTCAAGTCCAGAAGTGGGCGAAAAACCATAACGTTTCACTGGAGTTAACAGCCGGTGAACGACAACAAGGATAAGAGGGGCAAACAGTGAATGATCTCTCACCCGCATGAGGGAACCTAATGGTAATACCAACTGTTTCTTATAAAAAAAAAAAATGTGATATTGTTTCTAACGATATTGATGAATTTTTCAGACAGCGAACAAGGAATACATGAACGGGGTATCCTGAATAAACTCTTTGTGGAGTCAGACTACAACAAACATGAACGACCAATAGAAAAGGAGTCTGACCCAATAGAAGTTCAGTTCGGCATCATCTTGCAGCAGATAATTGATGTGGTAGGTATACAATTGTATGGATCTGTTACACAATGCTAGTGTCACGTGCCTTTGTTAGGGTTTCTCCCAATGAACCAAATAGCACTCTGAAGTAGTTTTAATGTTGAGATGTTGGCTCGCAACGGTCTAGGCGGAATTCCGCAGGTCCACTGAACATCCAACCTACTTCAGGGGTAAGGAGACTCAAATTATGGCACTATAGAATACATAAGCGTACCTAGGCGAAACTTGACCTGACTTAATCACTACTATTAGGCCCCCAGACTAGATAGTAATTTTATGCTCGTCAAATACAAACACTCTAGACAGCCAGGAACTTTTAAGTATGGGCACTAACAACAGAATGTCAAAATGACAAAAGATCAAGTTATTAGTGCAACACTTGTAGGAATAAAAACGCAAGGAATTCAGCAAGATCAATCACCACTGATGAAACAAAGACAAGTTATGACAGATAAGCGTCTTGGTTGTCCCTAGTTACAGCCAAAATCACCACTGCTAAAATGAGGAATACTGGACACAGGGAACTGGCACTTAGGTATAGGATTAACCGCAGGTGTTGGTGTTTCAACTTATATATCACAAGGTCTAGTTCACTTGGAAGAAGGCCTCCTCACACTACCGGTGATTTTTTTCTTGAAGCCCATATCTCGTCAAACACAAAACTGAATAGAAATAACTGTCTACACATTTACCCCACTGCTTAAGTCAATATTACTTGGTATTTCACAGAAGATAATCTGTGTTAAATTTAGAACACGTTACAGTCTAAACCTGAAATCAAACCACTGGTAGGAATTATGATCACATACAAGTACCAGAGCTTTGCAGATAAGTGCTGGTGGTTAACATCATAGAATCACAGGCAGTTTTCGATTGGGAGTCACTGACATGATGCGTGGGCAGGAATGAGTGGTACACAAAAACAAAAGATTCCTCCTCCTATTTACTGGATGTTGGTTACATAGGATAATGCTAGGATACTTATTGTCAAGCTGGCTTCCAGACAAGGTTAAAATCCTGTGACAAAGAAGAAAACCAGAATTAGCAATCATCCAACACCCTACATTTAAAATTTCCTACCCCTCAATCTATCCACATACTTTTAGATCAGAGGTCTGTGCTAGGTTTTGAAAGACTGCATTAGTCTGTAACAAACCCCAATGTCGCCATTGTTCGCTGAGAGGTGAGCAAAGTTCTCTCTAATGCCACTCTATACTGACAGCGATCATTTATGACTGACACCATATAGAAGGATATCACCTTTCCCCTTTCATACTGGCATACCTATAGTGACGGAAAACTGGACAGAGAAATTAGCTCCAGATGTGCCAAAGATAATCAGGTAATGGGTCAACTATCTCCCCTGTTGACACACAAGCAGATACCTCGGAATACTAAAGTGAATCTTATCAGAGCTATTTTTTGGCCAACACTATGCTATCAATGCCAAACGTGGACACTTACAGCCTCCAAAGAACATAACATTGTGACAACAGAGATGAAATGCCTTGGAAGAGCTGCAGGAGTTTAAGGAAAGACAGAATACGAAATCATGAAATCAGACGAATGCTAGGAATAAAGCCAGTCTTACAGGTCATCAAAGGACATCAAATGAAGTGGTTTGGACACCTAACAAGAATGCCCTGGTACTATCCGCCACAGCGAGCCACACTAAAACGATACAACGGGTATAGAGCGAGTGGAAGACCTCGGAAAATATGAAGTGATGGCATTAAAAACAGCCTTACAGAAATTCTGTCCTTATAGTGCTCTTGACAGAGCCCATCGACAAACATTACATCTCCCCCCGACACTTCGATGAGGTACAAGGTGAAAGTGAATAAGAAGAATACCTATACTCACGCAAGTATACTCCAAAATCAAGATTACAGATATGTATATATATATAAAACACTGAGAAACTACACACAACACATACAGCCGTCTTCGCGCCAAGTTTTGCTTACGTTTCCGAATACTCCAGGAGGCCGAATGTGATGTCATACCTCAAATAAGATTAGCCTGACCTCGATTATAATCGATCGATAGGGCTGTGTGCTGACCCAGAATCCCGTTGCAATTTAAAAACTGCTCAAATACATTTAAAAATGCGACAAGCATACTCGAAATGGATATTTAATGTTCACGCTGTCTGGAACCTGTTGAAGGAGCCCCAAGAGAGAATAACCTCGGCTCTTTAGGGGGACGCTTAAATTATGCGCCCACCTTCAGTTAGACTAGTTGGACTGCTCAGTCCTCTTATTTCACATAGCCACATTTGTCTTACACTCAGCAGCCTGGCTACATCTATGGTACTCAAAAACTATAATGTACTTACCCATGCTCAAGGATATTTTCGTATGAATCGGTGATTCAAGCAGACATAGGTAGACATACAGAAAATGGCAGCAAGTTGTCTGTCCTTTCGGGAAGCTCAGTCAAGAATAAGTTTAAACCAAGCGTCTCTCCCGATAAAGGCGGGAGGGCACTCATCCAAGTCCAAAGCGGTAGTTAGGCCATTGGAATCTTGGCTTCACTATCAATGAATCTCCCACACCATGGTTCTTAATTCAAAAATATAACCTTCCTAATATAATTAGGATAAAATTGAGTACTTAACCCGACATGCAGACACATGATTACAAAAGAAGGATTATTTACCTACAGAACAAAGTCCATTATTTAAATCTGTCTCGTTTCCAAAGAGGTGACAAGATCCAGGCAAGTCTAAGACGAGAGGGGTGTGGGCTGTCTCGTGACAGCATCATTGATATTTACATAACATCATCATTAGTGAACTGTGGTCGAATATTTTCATTTGCTTCTTTGCCATTCCGTGTGTTGTTCTGTTTTATTATTATTATTATTTGTGTGTTCTTTACTTTTCTGTGTTTCTAGATAATTTTGTATTTGTCGGTCTATCTCTCTGTTAATCTGCCTACCCATAACTCTAACTCTACGAGTTTCTTCGTCCGTCCATTTGTATTTTTTTAATTTCCTCTTTCAAGCGTCGTCCAAGTATCCATACTAATAAAATATGTAGCACATTGTCAGTCTGCTAACATGTTCGTTGGTCCATATGCTCGTCTGTTTTTCATTTGAAATCTCAGTCTGTCATTTGATAAATAAAAAAGGTATATAATTCCTCGTAACAATCCTGTTTTAATCATCTCTATTGACCTAAAATTTTAATTTTGTTCTCAATTTCTGTTTGCTTTGTTGAGTTCTTATTCACTGCAGCATTCTGATGTTTGACATCGTGTTAAGTTAGAACATAGGTTCTTGCGTTTGTATCTGAACAATCATATTGTATGAACCTCCTTTAGTACAACACAAGCGACCTCAGAATGTGTTTTTTAAACTTCACAAGGCATGAGAAGATCACCACATTTGTAATAAGAATATTTTTGGGATAACCTCTGCATTTTCTGCACATCCGTTGGTACCCACAAATGACATGGAAGTAAGGAGGACCACTCCTCATACCCACCCTCTACCTCCTTCCTCACCCCTCTTCCTTTCCGTCCTGATGTTAGTTTTAGCAAACGTCTGCTTCGATTATTAATGTATCAGAATTACTTATCGTTATGTTTAAATAATGATAAGTTGGGTCGAGCTAAGTCAAGAATTGACATCACAGCATTCAGGGCATTAACATACGCGATCTGTCCCCATCCTCAGCAACCAGAGCAGAGTTCCAGTACTAATGGTGCCGGTCGTATTCTGTTTGTGTGTCCGTCTTGCCTTTTATGTGAGCGTAGTGTGCCGGCCGAACCCTCTGGTCACACCACCCAGGTACATCATTCTTTTCAGCCCACAATAATCTAGCTTCTCTTCTGAAATCGTTACTTATTCTTAAAGGAACAAGCAGTCTTGTCGAAACAAGGTGAACACATCAAATACATTTTATTGCCTATCATATTTCGCTGTATCTTATCAGGTGTGTTACTGCAGAATTAAATCAACATATAATGAAGCACTCACACACACACACGCACACGCGCATGCGCACATACACACACACACACAATAAAAAAAAATTATTTTCGCTGAAAAATGAAAATCACATGCTTAAGTTGGGATTTGCTTGCCACCGTAAATTCATGGGTGTGATTACCATGATTATTTCATATGTATCAAGTGCTCTTCTTGTTAACACGAAACAGTTGAGTTCAGTTTTATTGATACGGCTTAGGTCAGCTTGCACGTAACTAACGGCAGCGGATGATCGGTTCTGACCGGCATTAGCAGTGAGTGGCACAAATTTCGTTAAAAGGTTTATATGTGATTGGTCATCTTGAAAACGTAACTACACTGCGTTCTTTGACACTTAAAATTGATATTTAAACCATGTTGCTAGCTGATTCGAATTTTAAAGGCATTTTTGTCATAAATATGCCCTCCCTCTTCGGAATAAAAAGAGACTTAGTCATGTGCCCCACAACCTTACCGCCCGTTGGTCGTGCGTTCGAATACTAATTTGAGTTCAAATTCTTAAAACGGATCAGTGCTCTTTTGCCAACAATGTCTACAATGTGTAAGTGAAAATATTATGGAAACTGAAGATCTCTTGCTAGTTACTGAACACATCAATCAGGGGTGCATTTTGGTCTATGAGATATATATTACAATCCTGTCTACACAATGAAATTTCATGTCTTTTTTATTTAGTGATTGCTAATTATTGCGTATGAATTTAGCTGGTACACAGTTGATCCACCCCTTGTTGTGGAGTTTGCGAGCTGTGATGCGGTTTGTTTTTATGTGATGTATGAGAGCCAACTGGATTACTAACAGAGATTTTCATCGACAGTAAAAGCATTTTCTGACCTTACCAAACAAATTTATAATGAAAGGAATGGATCTGTATCCCTGCGATGTATTTTAAATTAAATAGTATTGAGCATGTAAACAATAAAATCATAATAAAACATAATACTGAAAGACTTCAAAACTAAAAACTTGGTGACTTTTTGTGTGGTACTTCGTAAATTTGG